CCCCCCCAAGGCTGGGGGGGGGGGGGGTGCAGCTGCAGAAGTTGGTGGTGGCATTGGGGACAGGGCTGGCAAGCAGCCGCAGAAGCCGCTGCCCTCCCCTACCAGTCACCTATGCAAGCTGTTGTTTTTTGGTCCATCCCTTCTTTAAGAACAGTCATCTTAAGGGCTGCCTGTATATGTGTACAATATTGAGCTAAGCTTGCTCTGGAGTACACGGCCTGATTCCTGAGTTTGTAGGTCTGGCAAGGCTAGCTGGGCATCACAGCGGAAGTCCTTTGTGCAGTTTTAATCAAATGGCTCCTTTGGCTCTCTTTGGCAAAAGGACAAGGCAGGCTGACTTCAGGAAAGCCAGGGAAAAGCAAAGCCTGGTGGTTTCTGGAGGTGCTTTTCCTCCTGCTGCCAACGGCCTTGTCCAACAGGGCTCAGGGGCCTTAATTCTGTGGCATGTCCTGTTCCTCCCTGGCCATGCCCCACAGCTTCCAGTAGCCTGGCAAGTCAAATCTTTGATACCCCTGCATTCAAGGGCTAGCTGATCCTGCTGCCAATGGTTCTCTTCTACTCTCATCAACTTCTTACAGTTTGCCCATCACCCTAGTCTGCAAGCTGTGTCACTTCACCTGCTGCCCACTTCAAACAGTGCACTAGTGAGACACGATATAAACAGTATTGCAGTAGTATTGCTTTTGGTGGTAAAGCCAGGCACTACTGTCTGGGTAATTTTATGGGTTAATTACTCATTTTACCAAACTGATTTAAGTTGAGTGACTACCAGCCTTTTTAGATGTAATAAGCTATCAGCTGAGAGCAATCTGTCCAGCTCCCCTAAGACTGTTGTTTTGAATTGTAAATAGTCCCTGTTAGACTAACAAAAAGTTGGAAATGAATCGATAATTCAAAAAAAATGAAATGGTCACAGTTCTCAATTACAGATGTTCACTTTTTTTTTGCTTAAATGAATTAAAGTGCAAAAACTTCCAGCCTACCTTCAGTTCATCAGCCAACATCCACCAGTGTCCATCCTGGCTTGCATTTGATGTTCCTGTGGATCATTTGAAATCCCCAAACAAGTCAGGCCTCAGCGGTCACTCTAATCTTCCCTTTTGGCACAGACTTACCTTACTTATTCCATCTGCTCTGCAGTGGCAGAAAAACGTGGATACTGTTGACATTGCTTCTCATTCTCACCTGTCAGTGAACTGACTCACCTCTAGCCATTGTGCACTTAGACTAGTATGTTGGCTCGCAGCCTACCAGGTCCAGGTGCTGTAAACTGATCCGGGTCTGAGTACGACAGGAAGCGTGTCCATGAATTGGGAAAGGGGAGCCTGCCGAGGAAGCAATATATGAAGGAAGCACTGGTGAAGGATGCCTGGCTCCTGCACTCAGGTCAACATGGTGTATGGTATGCTGGTAGTTTTGCTGCCAGAACTGAGGTTCTGCCAGCAAAACTGTGACTACATCTACCATGTAAGTTCCCCTGTGGCAGCAGAGCCTGATTACATTTCAGGTGTGTGCTTAGGGCCTCAGCTGCCAGAGCTGTGTCGTAACACACCAGACTGTAAGAGCTCATTTTCACTAGTGCTAGAGTTGCTGGTCCCTAGGACTGTAGAGAACAGTTTGGCAACACCAGACATCAATGATAGAGGGAAGCCTGACTGGGCCTGCAGATCGTTCCCTCCCTGAAGAGCAGTGGCTTACAGGCAGAGAAGAAACCTCACTAGCAGAACTCCCCTATTCCTTGAAGATGGAAGGAGCAGGCCTTGGATAGCGCATTGCCTCTCCCTCCTGCTGAGCTCCTGCCGATGTGGTGTGGCTTGGAGTGGAAGAGGTGACTGCCCCAAGTAGTGCCCAAGATTAGCTGTAGATTGTGCTGGCTCCTGGAAGGAGCATTCCCTCCTTTCCTACATGCTTTGACTGGCAGTGACATCCTGAAGGGTGTTGCTATTTTGACCGCTCATCCAGCCACTGTCTAAGCCTCCCCCAGGTGAACTGGGTAGGCCACCCCTCTCAGAGGAAGCATTTCAAGCCACCCACTGACCTCACAACTGCACCCCATGCGCACGGCTCCAGTTTTCAAGGCTCTCTCTCTGCCATTGCGAGGAACCAAGGCATTTTCACCAGGGGAATCTGAGATCCTGGCCACCACATCCACGGCCTCAGGCAGCTGCTGGCAGGCTGGCTGGCTTGGGAACACTTCGAGGCCAGCGTGTGCAGTCAGACCCTGGCACGTAGGAAGGAAACCAGCTGCAGATGATGGGGTCTGCTGCTGAGGGAGAGGGAAGGGGAGGCGAGGCTAGGCTGCCATCGGAGCTTGGCTTTGGTCTCCCGGGGGCACTGATCCGGCTTTGTGCTCCATCCCCGTGGTTGTTAATAAGTGCTCGGAGCCGCTAATCCCCCCTCAACGCCCTGGCACCGCGGAGGCGGCACCGCAGCCCTTTAATCCGCAGCAGCACGGCCCCTTCCCGCCCCCTCCACTCAGGGCCTGGCCGCGCAGCAGCCCCTGGAACGTCCTGTGCCTAGAGCTTCGCTGGGGCTATTGTGACGTTAGCGAGGGAAGGCGCTGCGGGCGCGGCCATTGGCTCGAGCGCCGAGGGGGCGGGCACGGAACGTGGCTGTTTGTGTTTAAACGTTCCAGCGCGAGGGGCGGGCGCAGGCGCTGTGGGGGTGTCGAGCCGAGCCGAGCCGGGCAAAGCCGCCCTACGCTGCGCTGTCCTGCCCCGGCCCGGCCGCAGCATGGTGCCCGCGCGGCGGGTCAAGACCGAGTACATGAAGCGCTACAAGGAGCCCAAGTGGGAGTCGTGCGGCGCCTGCTACCTGGAGCTGCTGCGCTACCGCCTCAGCCGTCGCCTCCTGGAGCAGGCGCACCGGCCCTGGCTCTGGGACGGCTGGGAGCAGGGCAGCGCCGGCTCCGGCTCTGGCTCTGGCTCTGGCTCTGGCTCCGGCTCCCCATCGCCGCCCGGCTCCGCCAGTCCCCCGCAGCAGCAGCAGGAGGCAGCGGAGAGGAGCAGCCCGGCGGAGCCCCCGCGCGGGGAAGGTACGTGCGTGCGGGGGTGCTTAGCCCCCCCTCCCCCACATGTAGCAGGAATAGGGGGGCAGCAGAAGCCTGGGAGATCCCCAGGGAGAAATGGCCGCAGTTCGCTGGCGCTCTTGCTTTGCTCCCTCACCCCCACATCTGCCGTGCAGGGGTGAAATCATCACACTAACTCCTTGGATGGCGGGCGGATCAGCCATTGGTCAGGAATGAGCAAAAGCATCACTCTCCCTAGGAGCACGCAGCTCCCGTGCAGAGGTGGCATGGGAGGAGGGCAGTGGTCAGTGAAGCTGTGCCCCCCTCCTTGGACACTGCCTTCCACGTGAGGGATGCCCTGGCAGGCAGCCGGGACAGGTCTCCGCCACCTGGACAGTCCTTTCCAGCCCTTGGTATAGGGATCTTAGCTGTGTTCTGGCCAAGATACGCTGTTTGTTCATCACAGAATGAATTGCAGCTTAACTTTTCAATTTAAGAAGGATTGTAAGATCATTTTGCCAGAAACGGGGAGTGGGGGAGTTTGCTTCCTGTGCAGGCAGAATGAATCGATGCCTTTATGTTTTTTCTTATGTAATGTCTCCAATTTAAGCAGGTTATGATAAAGGCTGGACTGATCATGTTGGACACTGGCACAGGTCGCTGTACAGTGGCTTGAGGCTGTCCTGTTCACCTTGCGTGCTCCTAGGGCAGGGGTGGGCAAAATGTGGCCTGCCAGGCCATTCTGTCTGGCCTGCGGGGCCCCTAAAAAGAATTTGGAAAATTAATATTAATCTGCCCTGGGCTGGCTGTCATGTGGCCCTTGCTGGCTTGTTGAAACTCAGTAAGTGGCCCTCTGCCCAAAATAATTGCCCGCCCCTGTCCTGGGGGAGTGTGGTCTGGTGCTTTGCTCGTTCCTGCCTAATGGCTGATCAGCCTGCCGCCGGTGGTGATAGGGGGCCCTTGCCAACATCTAGCAAGCTTTGTCCAGTGTCTGGTGACGGTTTTTGGTCATTGTTGGTCTGGACTGAATTAGGGCACAAATGCTGAAGTGTAAGGAAGGTCGGGGCTCAAGGTCACTAGGGCCCCTGAGAACCTAAGACTTTGGTGGTGGGAAGGGTATTGTGGGTGTCCAGTATCTTGTGGTCTCATGTTGCAGGACCCACCTGAAATGGGTTAAGGACAGTCACGTTTTGTGGTCCCCCTTGCTTTATTCTATGGCACCATAGGCATCTTCTGTTGTGCCAGGGTTGACTGGTTTCTCTAAGACAGGCTTGTCCAACATACGGCCCGCGGGCCACCATGCAGCCTGCCAAGCCATTTTATCTGGCCCGAGGTCCCTCGCTGAGGACAGACGAGGGGTCCTGGTGCTTGCTCTGTGCTCCACAGTGGTGGTGGCAGCGGCGAGGCGAGGCGGGCAGGGCCGGCCTGTGGGCCCCAGCCGGCAGCGAGGGGAGGGGAGCTGCTTACCCCCGCGGGCTGCCCCAGCTGTGCCTGACTGGACGAGCTTTGGCTCCGCCCCTTGCCCCCGGCGCGTGGCCGGGGGAGCTGCAGCATGGCCTGTGCCCTGCCCGTGTGCATGGTGGATGGAGGCACCAGGTAAGTTCCTGCGCGGACCTGGGGGCACCTCAGGGTTGGGCCGGGGTTGTGGGGCACGTGGTTGCCGGAGCTGGGCTGGGCAGGAGGCAGGAGGAGCCTGGCCCAGAGGCGCTCTATGTCCAGCTGCCTCCTTGGTGGTTCAGGTCCTGCTAATGTAGCCTGCATGATGTAGGCTGAGGATGGGGGTCTGCATCCAGTCACTAGTGGGGAGGATGTGTCTAGGAGCACCCATGCTCCTGCCCCCGCCTCCCTGACACGAGCCCGTGCCCGTGCCTTGCGCTGCTGGAGCAGCCCCGCGTGGGAGGCCAAGCAGTGGCCACTGGCACTGCTGGCCTGTGCCTGCCTCCTCACCTGCCCACTTCAAGCCAACCCTGCTGCCCTGCCCTGCCCCACAGCGAGGTGGCGCCTGCTCCCCCAGCCAGTCTCCCTCTGGGCGCTGTGGCTCTCTGGGCTTGGCTGCCCGTGCGCGAGGCCCTGAGGGGGCCACTTCTCCTGTCCCCAGCAGCACATGAGGAGGCCGGCCAGGTCTGCACTGGCCAGCAGAAGTGGCGGCGGAGCCGTGTGCTGCTCGGGATGGATCGAGCCTGCATCGGTCAGTCCCGAGCAGCACACGGCTCCGCTGCCGCTTCTGCTGGCCAGTGCAGACCTGGCCAGCCTCCTCCCGCCCCAGCAGCACATGGGAAGCCGGCTTCAGCTGCGTGCTGCCTTTCCTGGCCGGTGCCAACCTGGCTCTGCCCAGGCGGGTCCTGCAGCACCAGGTCAACCCTGGCCTGGCCCTGCGGCTTCTCCAGCACCAGGTCAACCCGGTTGTAGCCAAGTGGCTTCTGCAGCACCATGTCAACACAGGCATGCATGCCATGTCAACCAGCACCATGTCAACCCCTGCAACTTCATTGGTGTCCAAGGTCATGTGACATCACTTCCTGATGTGATACCACTTCCTGTGAGGTCTTTGAATATGGCTCGCCGGCCCACTGGGTGATTAAAAAATTCGTGATCCAGCCCCACATTCAAAAAGGTTGGACACCCCTGCTCTAAGAGGTTAAAACTATCTTATACAAATCCATAATTTGATAAGGGATGATCCTGCCTCGGGCTGGGGGTCAGGCTAGATGACCTGTCGAATTCTCTAGCATCCCAACCTATATGATGTTCAAGTGAAAGCTTGAACATGCAGTGGAAGATGTGGTGTATGTACGTCTAGTGACAAGCAGTCCTGCTAAGACCATATATGTATTTTGACTGGACTTAATGAGTTAGGCACAAGGCTAGTGCAAGAAACAAGCTAGGTTTTGTGAAATGTCTTCAAATAAACAAACTGATGGTAACTATCACCTGACTCGCAGCTTCTTTATGTATATTGTTGCCATGGTATCAGTGTGTCATGATGATTACATAAGTAGGTTCTCTAGCAGAAGCAGCAATAATAGCAGTAGGAGCAAGGAAGGCTGCATGTTGGTAATGGATGTTTTAAGAACACTTCCACATCAGACTGGCTACAGTAGCTTCTGTGTCAAGGCAGAAGGATGTAACATTTAAAGTGGAAACCTATAGAGACTGTTCTAGTTCCATAAAATGTCTACGAAGACATGCTGGAATAGCAAGCAGCAGATGTGGGCTTCGATCTCTAACTATAATGCCTCTTAAATGAATATCTGAGAAACTCATTAGGTAGCTGGTCCTTTTCCTGAGAAACCTTGCAAATTGGACCTTCAAAAAGTACATATTGCAGCAAAGCCATGATCTTCCCCCACCACCTGCATTATGTTATGGCCTCCCGTAGCTGGACAGATACAGTTGCACTTAATTTGGTCTCTGATCACAGATCTAAGTCCTGCAGCCTCTTCATTACTGTACCAAGAGTGTGTTGCCCCCCAAATCCTCTTGTGTATATACTAAAGTGATCAGCGCTTTTATATTCTAGCCCAGATTAGGATTTTTAAAAACAGTGTTCCTGTTGAAGGTTGACAATGGGCATTATAGGGAATTGTAGTTACTTTCATGTGTAGCAATTTTTGTCAAGTGGATAAGAGCATTTTATGGTACTATGCATGCACCTTGTGTGTTCCTGTGAATATCTGAGCTGTGAAGGTTGTTTCCTTTTAACTCGCATATGCTGGCCACATTTCCAGTAATGAGGGGTGGGAAACTCCATTTCGTTTTAAGTTGCATGTTGGGAAGCTCATGCTATGGGCCATGCAAAAACAAAGAAGCCATGCTGGTTTGACAATGCAAAGTCTTTGTAACTACTTAAATTGCAGAACAGTTTTTGATACTTAATAACACTATCACTCTTTTTTCCCTAAGGGCCCAAGGGAAGACAAAAGTTTCAGTAGTATAATTTAATCTTTCACAAGAACTGTAAGGATGGAAGATACATGTTAGAGATACATGTATTTAAGAGCCCTGAGCTGAGTGGTTAACGGGACCTCTTTCATGTGGACT